CCAAGATTAACTTGAAGAGTGGTTACCATCAGATCTGTACAAATCTCAGAGATGAGTGGAAGACTGCCTTTAAAACAAAATACGATTTGTATGAGTGGTTGGCTTTGAGGTTGATTAACGCTCCTAGTACCTTCATGGATTTAATGAATCATATTTTACGGTCATATCTTGCACAGGGTATCGAAGTAGATGACAATAAAGTAAAAGTCAATAGAGATTGGCCTACACATAAGACTGCAAGCGAAGAAAGGAGTTTATATGGGCTGGCCAGTTTCTACTGATGGTTTGTAAGGGTTTCAGTTCCATTGTTGCACCTTTGAATGAACTTGTTAAGAAGGACATAAAATTTGTATAGACAGACAAATAGGAAAATACTTTTACTTTACTTAAAGAAAAGTTGTATACTACGCCTATTCTAGTATTATCAAATTTTAACAAGACATTTGAGGTTGAATGTGATGCTTCAGGTATCAGTGTAGGAGCAATACTACTACAGAAAGGGCGCCCCATTGCCTATTTTAATGAAAAGCTCAATTGCGCACCTCTTAATTACTCCACCTACGATAAAGAATTGTATGCACTAGTGAGAGCACTGGAGGTATGACAGCATTATCTCCTACCCAAGGAGTTCATGATCCACACAGATCATGAATCACTAAAATATCTATAGGGACAGGGTAAGCTCAACCGCCGACATGGTAAGTGGGTAGAATTCATGAAAATATTTCTTTATGTCATCAAGTACAAAAAAGATAAAGACAATATTATAGCAAATGCATTGTCACATAGGAACTTATTAATCTGGATGGACAACAAAGAGCAGAGTTAGTCAAAACTATGCACAAAAAGACACAAGAACACTTGAAGAAAAAAAACGAATCATATGATCGCAAAGCCAATAAAGGGAGACAATAAGTCACATTTCAACCTGGAGATTGGGTATGCGTCCATATGATGAAGGAAAGATTTTCTAAACAAATGAAATCAAAACTGGACCCTAGAGGAGCTGGTCCGTTCTAAATCTTGAAACGCATCAATGACAATCCCTACAAGATAGACCTCTCATATACGTGTAGTGTTTCTACCACCTTTAATGTTGTCGATCTTTCCTCTTTCGATGCAAGTCCAGATTCGAGGACGAATCATCTTGAATAGGAGGGAGATGATATGAGCATGGATCATCTTGGGCCACATGGAAAAGACATAATCATTCCAAGTGGTCCCATAACAAGGAGTTTTACCAAAGGATTACAACAAGTTTTCTAACTCTTCATCTAAGCTTAGATTAATGAGGAAGATGGGTGTGGACCCACTAAAGAAGCTCAAGAAAATAAGTTTGAACCAATTAATTCAAGGGCATAATGGTCTTATTAACTTTCTTCAAGCAAATGATGGAAATGGGTAAGAAAAAGAAGCAATCGGCAAAGAAAAAAGGAAAGACCATATCTATCAGAATTAAAAATTTAGACTTTAATTTTAATTAATTTCCTATGTAATTGCACCTAGTTAGGAATTTAGATTTTATTTTAATCAATTTCATATATAATTGCACCTAATTAGAAATTTAAACTTTATTTTTAATTAATTTCCTATATAATTGCAATTTTAATTAGGAGATTTTTATTACCTTTTTATTACATGGTTTACTCTATAAATTGGTCATCAAGTTTTCATTGTAAGCATTCAAGATTAAAATCAATAATATTGTGAGTCTTATTCAAGAAAGGTATTTTCATCCTTCTTGTTGAGGAAGTAGTGGATCTACTTATCAAAGTAATTCTTTATGGTGTTGTTCTATTCTTCTTTTAATTCTTTGTTTTCCAATGATCTTAATTCATATCATTCTTGATAGAGGGTTAAGTAGGGAAGATTTTCATAGGATCAAATTCCTCTAATGGCTTGAATAAAATTGTGTAAGTTCCTGATCACGTTGGTTGATCTGGGGTTCTACATCATTAAGGAAAAAAATTTTAGAGGTAATTTATTTAGGATAAAGTTGTCAGGTAATTTACTAGAGAGAATATATTCAAGAGGAAGTGTTTGGAGAAAAATATTGAGGGAGAATCCATTAAGAGGGAATATTTTCGAGAATCAATTGGTGTGGGGAAAGTATTAAAAGAATATTTGTTAAAGACTGATTGTTGATCGAAAATCCATAATGGGTAAATTGTTGATAAAGAAGTTATAAGGAGAAAATATTATGGTTGAACTAATATTTTTGGAGCATCTTGGTTTGGACAATAAGAGCTATCTCTATGCTCAAAGTGAAAGTGAAACTGAAGAAGATAACGATGATGATGAAATCAATATTAATGATGTGAGCTAAACATTATAGGCATGAATGATTCTGTAGAGTATATTGATGATGATAATATGGATTAATTAAATAAGCATCTAAAGGTAAAGACAAAAAGAAACTTATGATTAGATCAAAAAAAATGAAAGAAAGGTTTTTAATTCTGAATTAAATAGTAAAATTTTTTTTAAGGTCAGACATTTGTTTCTAACTATGAAGAGTTTCAAAGTTGCATCACATGACTATGGATTCGATAATATTATAATTTCAAAAAGGAAAAAAAAAATGCACCCTAGAAGATCTCAAGCAACATATAAGCAAAATTGTTGCTCATGTAGGGCCACTTGGAAAATGAAAATACTTATATGGTTAAGAAATTGAACAACATACATATTTACACGTAAAAGGTATAAAATGATAATGTAAAAGTTTCTTTAACTTGTGACGATGTTAAATCCTTACTTGAACGTAGACCTGGAAATGTGCTACAATTTAATGATTACTATATTAGGTTACAGATGATTATCAATTTACGTTATATTAAGTTATATTATCTCATATAAATACTATAAACAATTATCGTTATATGTTTAATGGATATCATAATAAAATTAGTCTCATTTGTTATTGCAATGGATATTTAACTGATGTTTCACTATAAAAATCTTAGTTTTACCAAAATAACTTATTCTTTCTTCTTGATTTAGATTTTTATCTCCCTTGTAAAATCCTAAAACCTCTTCTAATCACAACTCTAAAGAGTAAAAGTTTCATATAAGAATTGTAATTTCGATGGTATATGATAGAGCAATAACTTCATCTTTCTTTCTTTTTTTCTTTTTAACCCCTTTAATTAATGAATATAACCAAATAAATATTGTTTTGCTTGATTTGTCTCTCCTCTATCCTTCTATAATTGATCCTAATATTCTTTCATGTTTTGCTTCATTTAGTGCAATTTTTTTAATTGATTTGGGGCAAATTTCTTTTTTATATTTTTAAATAAGAAAATAAAAATAACTTGTTGAGTACGTAAAAATATATTATTTTTTAACATTTGCATTAAAGATATAGTTACTTTCTTTAAATTAAGATTGTGATAATTAGATTTTAATATTTAAAACATTAAATAAAATACTTGTTTAGTCCAAATTCTAAAATAATTATTTTTAGGAATTTAATTCTTTTGAAATACCTATAATATCTATTTCACTTTGACTTTTCTTATATTATCCAGCACTGGGCAAATGTCAGCCCCTATACATAGTCTTATGAATTTGCAGAAACCTGTATTTTTAGTAAACAGTCATTCAGGCTTAATCACTGTGATCCTCTTCATGAGAAGGCACCTCTTCTCCCAAAGTTATGGAGTTATTTTACGTAGTTTCTTATAGAGAGTTATCTCGTGTCCCTAAGTATTCTTTACCTACCCATCTGTATCGATTTTGGATATAAGTACCCTTTTGTTGAAGGTCATTCGAGCTTTTCCTAAGAGTATAACATGGGTTACTTCAGCATCATAACATCTAGTACTCGAACATTGTCTTGGGATATGTTCTTGAACTGATAACCATCTTTCGGCTAACCTAACATCTTCTTTCCATAGGGACCAACAAGGGGTATTGCAGTCTATTTTACTAATTTATATTTTTATTTCTCTAATTTTATTATCATTAAACGAAAAATAATCCAAAAGAAACTAAGCTCTAACTGTTGTTTTTCTCTTTCTGCTCATTGATCTTTCTCTCATATGTTCTTGAATTATGTCAGTGAGTCAGTAGAAATGAGTATCAACTACATCTAATTAAACCAAGAAAAAATATTTTCTTTCTCCTTTTAAACCTTTTTAATTCACCATTTGTAATATTTTAAATGATTGAAATGTAAATTTTCCTTCCTAAACCCAATTGAAAATAGAATTTACCCATCTAACTTGGTACATTTTTTAAGCCACAAAAAAGGTAAACAAAAGATATAGAAGAAAGACCTGCAATTATTTTTCTAGCTTTTCTTTTGATTTATGCAATAAGGTTGTTTTTTTATATATATTTTAAGGAAATAATGAATTTTTATTTGAAAATTAAGAATATTTAATTTATTTAGTATGGTTTTAATTAAAAAAAATTGGGTTTTGTGTAACATTTAAAAAAAAAAATTGAAATCCAAAAACTTTTTCTTCATAAATTATAATTGATGAATTAATTTATGAAAGAATATAATTGATAATGTAATAAAAGTAGGCAATAACATATAAAGAATTAATTTGAAGTTTCCATTAAACCAATATTTTTTTAGGTTTTAGGCATGAAAAATTAACAAAACCATTAAGATTTTTCGGAGAAAAAAAAAAT